AATTTCTTTGTATATTTGACGAACAAGATGTTAGAACTGTGACTAAAAATAATGCGTTTGCAAAAGTAATTCTGTAAAACGTGTTCAATGTAGAAACTGTATTAAAACCACAGTCATCAAATTTTACCATAGCTAATATATCTATCCTATTTCCTAGGCTTGTTAAAAACATATTTAAAAATAACTTAAAACATAAATAAACAGTTTAAAATGTTTAGAATGACCTATAAAACGAATGTAAATTTTGATTGTTACACTAGTTCATGGTAAAAGTAGTAGCTTAACCCACCAAAAAAATTTAATAATAGATAAGTAATAATATATTATTTATTAAAAATAATAAGTTTTAGTATTAAACTAGCATTTAAATACATCTAGCTTGATGACAATGTTTTTCGTCATCATATTAAATGCTTGTTAAATTTTTTGCTTGATTGAAAATAAAGTTTTTTTCTTTTAATTGTAATATTTATTTCTCATAGTATTGTAATCTTCGGAATGAATGTTTTAATAATATATTAGTCTTTAAAATCTTTAATTTGATATAGATTTAAAGAATGCAGATATACAAAACCTGAATTGAAAAAAAATATTTCATGCGTGGACAATTAAAATCGGATTCCTTTGACGTATAGATTATCGAAATCGGTCCTAAAAGAGCTGAGTATTTATATGATAGACACAAAAAAAAATACATCATGGTATAATCAATCTTCTCAGCTTCACATCGATGATCATATAAAAAAACACTTAACTCAAAAAGTTCTAAATAATCGCATATACGTATTTCGGGAACAATGATATCATCATCAACACATACATATATATAAAGTATAAATATGAGTACGTTTAGTTGTGATGATGGTATCATTATTCCCAAAACACGTATACACGATTTTTTTTATAATTTTTCGTGACTTTTTCAGTTAAGTATTTTTAATTTTAAACAAGATTAACAACAAATGATCAATTTTTATTATACGATGTAATCTGTAAAATATTTAACTGCTCCAAACTAACATCTTTATCGAATTGATCTATTTGAGAGTATTAAACAAATCATAAAGATAATATATTTTAATATTTTATGTTATATAAAATCAGTTATTATTATTAGTACAAAAAATATAAAAACCAATTATTATTTTTACACACAAAAATAAGTGTAAAAATACATGATGTAAAAATCCACTCTTAGCTGTAATTGGTAGCTCGTTTTTATGGTCGAATTTACCTTCTTTTGTCCGGCTACTAGGACTGAGGGTTGTGACTATGACGTCGAACGACGGTTGTTAGGCGCCACTGAATTATACATTATAGATTTGCGTGTTGAAGCCAACAAAAATCGTCGGACGGTCAACACACGCTGCAACAAACCCCCAGACACTATATTTACGTCCCCTGATACAAACGGTTAGTCATTTATCGTTAAAAATACTCATATTTTCGTTAGATTTTCATAATCACAACACATGTGAACGGTAATCGCTTTTTAGTGTGTCGAACGCGAATGTGGATTGTGGAATAATGCTGAAGTGACCCAACCCAACCGCGAATGTGTAGTAATGTTCCTACGTTTTCCCTATAAACCAAAATGAAACGTAAGTTCGGATCAAAGTCGGATTTTTGCTTGCACGTGCGCGTGTGTAAGTGAGCGAGTGCTGTCTGCGTCATATTTATAATATAGCAGTGTAAGTAAAAAATAAATAAAAATCGCAACTCTCATAATTTCTACGCTCATACCTGCTATTGATCGTCCACGCAGTTTGCATTCGAAGTGGCCCACTGGCTTCGGCCATCACCGCACCCAATGTCACAATTATTAATATCTGACAACACAGCATCTCTTTGAAAAAATTATGCTTCCTGTATTATATTCAAACAATAAATCGGTGTTTGAAGTTTCAACTAGCACATAAACTATTTTATGAAGTGTATCCAAAAAAATCAATTTGCATCTCAAAATGCCTGAATATAAGTTTGAACCTTTTTCTTGGAAATTTTCTTTTATCTCGGCTCCTGAGTATCCGTCATGTTGGGTTATTGTTGAGATTTTAATTAGCAATTTTGCTGGTGAATACTTCAAATGAAGCTCATCACTTATTAATATTGAATACAAAAATTACACTGTTAATATATCATATCTGTTTACTGAGGATGAATTCTTTACAAATTTTTAACAAGTTGACGTTTGTTTAAATTGAACAATAATTTTGATGAGTTGAAACTTAAAAATACTTTCACATAGTGTAACATTTTTGTGTTTGTTTTACTTTTCTTATAACTTAAATCAAATATTAAGCGTTCATATATGTAATAATTTTTTAATATTTTAAATAAGTTTTTAAACAAATCCTGGAGAATTTTATCAATATAATATTCTAATTCTATGAAAAACTGTGATACTTAAATTATTTTTAAAATATTATTAATTATTTTCAAATCACAATGTTTTCAATTCACGAGTCAATCAAAGTATTAATACTTTGTAACTAATAATTTTAATAATAGAACATCTGTTCCAATTCATACGTTAACATAAATAAACATTTGTAGAACAATATATGATTTTATTAAAAGTGATTTTTACCACTAAATATTTTAATTGTATATTATACGCAATATTTAATATCAGTTAATCATAATCTTACAAAATTTTGTAGATTAATATGCCCTTTGATTTAAATTTCCTCGTCGCATTATTAGTTGTATAATTAAATAAAAATGTTCTCATTCATAATAACAGAATATTTAATACATAGTTCTTCCAAATTAGAAAAGTTTAATATTTTTGTTTTACTACTAAAGTTAATTAAAAAATGTATAACATTAAATATATCAAAAGTTTGATAATAAATCATTAAAACAATTATACCACATTATTTTTAATATTTAATATTTTTGATCTTTAGTCTATTTTTAAATTCATATTCAATAACTATATATTAATATTCTTTTCCATATTTAGTTACATAGTTTGCTCAACTATAAAAATTAAAATAATAAGTTTGGCAAAATTGCTTACCAGTTTATCATTTTGCACAATTACATACAGCACAATTTAAAAATAATTATAATAATAAAGTCAGCTTTTTTTATTGAATATCAATATTAAAGTTAAATTTTTTAAATACTATGTAATAATAAAAAATTGATAGTATCGAGTTTAATATTCCAAGACTTAAATTGAATAATTATGAATAAAAAAGTTAAAAGAAATATATTTTTTACCAAAAAAAATTTTCTGATTCTGTGAAAAGAAGTTTCACGATGCATAATTATAAATACAAGACTACAAATCATGTATCTAATGAGTTTTGGGTTCAAAAATATATTTAAAGTCATCAAAAATTATCATTGTATCTACTTATATATTTTTATAAATTTCAAATACTTAACATACTGACAATTAAAATAAAACAAAATTTGAATATATTAGTGAGACTAACTTCTCTAATCATCATTAGAATTCTTTAATAATTAAGTGATAAAGTATGAATGACTGTGATGACACAGCAATTTTACATCTCAAAGATTATTGAGATGAAACAAAATTACAATATCATTATAAAGTAGTTGGATATGTCATCTAAATCATGACCCAATTGATTTATGGTTAAATGGCTGTCATCTACGAGGTTTATAATCAAAAGTCCTCACAGTAAGACCAATATTTAGTAATAAAGTTAAGAGTTACAACTTTTTAGTATTTCAGTCCTTAAAATATTGCAAATTCTAACTGATTAATTTTATTTAAATATATTATTATAATTCTGTCAAAAAATTGTTAATTAAAATTTTAAATTCAGTTATATACCATATTATATATATATATATAGGTATATTATACGTACCATAAATTAATAAAGTTGTTTACCGATATATAATTTTATTGAAAAAGCAGCAAAATTTTACTTTGATACAAGAATTTTTATGGAAAATTATCTATATTATATTTTATTCAAAAATAGTTGACAAATACTTTATGAATATTTGTAATTTAGTGACAGTATTAAAACGAGTAAATATCCAGTTTAAATTAACGAAAGAATTTCAATAAACTCTAATGCTTTAAATAATTATATAACTATCTATAATTTTACATTTTTTATGAACTTGAAGAGGTGCATTATTTAAACTCAATTAAAATGAAAAAATCGAATAAATGATGACAAATATTGCTTATTATTATTATTTTGATATGCTAATTGCTGTGTTAAATAACCAAGCACTACACAATGGATCAATAAAAGGTTTAAAATGCGTGACCGCATTTTCAAAATATTGCAAACAGAAATCAGCAAACAATAGTTAGGGTAGCAGCTTTAATATCCAAGTATGTTTAACAATACCAACAGACAATGTAAAAAATAAATTAAAACCTTTCATCTGCCATACCTATGGCTTTTTTCGTTTAGCTATGCGTATACTGTGGTAAAAATTAATTTTGTTGACCAATGGCAAACGTCCTCTCGATCACAAAAATGAAATAAAAATAGGAAATGTTTCTATTACCCCTGCAGGAGTAGTGATAAAGATACTTATACACTTTTTACAATTTTAAACGAGATGGTTGACAATGGACACGCGAAATAAAATAAATGAATGTAATATATTTTAATTAAAACATAAAAACAGCATACACATATTTTTTATGCTTATAGATTTTAAATATCTGTATCTAGTTTTTTCGCAATCTCAACATACAAATGTGTTTAATATTATATTAACATAATGTTTGTTCTGAAAAAATATGAGTTATCACACTAAACCAGAATATTTTAGTTAATCGACGTTTAATATAAATTATAGTTATGCTAGTGATGTTAAACAAATTGTTATATATATTTACAATGTAATTCATTTAACATTAACATTTTAATTGATCATAAAATAAAATTATCAAAAAATTTTATTTTTAAAAATAACATTTATCAGCAATTTACTGAAAACTTAAGACATAAATATTATAATGTTCTTGGTTTTAGCTCTTGCAGAATTAATTCAATTTACATATTAATTATCAGTTTTATTTCTTCATCAGTTCTTATCGAAGTTTTGTATTCTTATTATGGTAAAACTTTTGGTAACGAAATAACCTAAAGAAAAGAAACGGATACTTAAGTTTTAGTTTTAGTGAGCGTTTAAAGCTCATATTTTATCCTATGGTTAATCAGAATTATTCACATAATATACTACTGTATAAAACCATGTCTTTTTATCGGTGTCATATACATCTCTACTATATATCTCTTGCAGTTCAAAATCTTTGACAAGTGGAAAAAAATTAAATAAATTATATCCAATGATATTTCCAAGCGCTAGTAATGATGTTAAATAGATTACATATTTTAAGTGATAACAGTTTCCTGTCAATTTTAAATATGTATATATGATTCGTCATAAATAATTAGGACGATTCCACTCGTTTTCACTTCAATTAGTGTTGTAAAATTTTCAGAAATTAAATAGTTGATATATTGTTGAGAAATGTCTGAAAAGTTGGACATTTTTATTTAAGAGATCTTAATTTACTATTTTCTTTAGTTAATCATCTTTGATTTAATTATAAATAACTATGGATAATTTCATCTTCAGACTTGTAACTACCACTTCGTAAACAAACTACAACAAATTCAAAACATAAGCACAAAACTAAATACATGAAAACGATATCATATTACTCGTATCTGCAAATACTCTAAATAGTTTAACTCATTGTAATCCTGACGTTTGTCGTACGCGTACGTGTACATATCATACGTGTTCTCCGCCAAAGACATATTTACGACTGTTTCAATAAATTTTGTTAGGTACATAAAGTGCATAAAGAGTTAATATGTGAATTGTTATACGAGTTCATTAAAACAAAAAACATAGGTAGACCCCACGATGTTGGGATAGAGCCACCAAGGAAGTATAATATTAAGTTTTACCATTTCACTACTCGTTCTCTTCAAGTTTTAACTCTTCGTTCTTGGTATAGTAGCTATTGTTCTACACTACACAACAACGGCATCGCTTATAAATGTATTTCGAAAAAGCTATTTGGAGTATTCTCTTCCTTAATGGGTGTTGTGTTCAACATTGAGAAGTTATTTGAAAGTTTGTTCATTTAAACATTTTGCTCTAACAACTTTACAATACAGTTTCCCATTTTCTAAAAACAACTCAATAAAATTGTAATCATTTTTCCTATTAAACCAAAATTAAAACATATTAATTAATTATTTTTTTATTAGATGTTGTGTTAATTGATTTGTCTGTTTATAATTTATAATTTTTAATATAATTATTTAACTATTCAACGCTAATTTGCTGTCATAGGCATTGTTTTAGTTATTATGCTTTGAAAAAAGTACCTATGTGTTTATTTGCCTGGTAAATTATATTTTAGTATTTGTAGCTGACATATTTAGTAAAATACTAATCTTATATTCTTGTAAGTGTTTATAAAAATAAATAATTAAACACCATAATTTAACATTTTTTATAAATTATGAATAAAAAAGGTGGCAAATTTCTAGAAATTTAATTGAAATACATATATTACATAGTAATGAGATAATTAAATAGTGTATATATAACATCAATAAATATTTTTGAAAATCTATAATTTAACTCAGACTTGAATTATGTGTAATACACCACTGCCTTAATTAACATTTTAATGAACTAATAATACAGTAGTACGCTTGATGATTTTTCAAAAATATTTTAATCTTTTTATTTTTATTTCTAAGTAGTGCGAAAAAATATGGTAGTTTGGTATTATAAACGAATATGTTACTTTGTCCTAAAGACAGCATCTTCTATTGAAAATCAATTATTGTTAGTAATAAATTTCATTCCTAACTGTTTGGTAGTATTCGACCTGACAAAATAATTTAGACACACATAATAATCATTACTTAATAAAAAACGACATGTAGTCTATAAATCAATAAATTTGTGAAATGATAATTCAATATAAAAATATATTTATAATAATTTTAAAGAAAAACCAATTATTTTATAGGTCTTTTAAACTTTATAGATCAATAATTAAGTTTTGTATTTGTAAGTGTTAAGCACACGAATTAGAGCGGAATGGTTGGGCTTGATTGAAGACACGCTTTTATATGAAATGTCTCAGATATATTTGATTAACTAACTTATTAATTTTGATACACATATTATTTCATTTTAATTTTTTTTTTAAATAATGCTTTCTAAGATTATGTTCAAAGCATTATTTTATTATTTATTACTTGTAATAAAAAAATGTATTTTAATTTTTTAATTATAAAATAGATATTTTCTAGTTCTTTTCTTAGAAAATATATTGATAGGTTGACAATAATTTTAAGATAAGTTCTTATCAAGTTATAACATTTTAATACATAGAGTGAGTATGGAACATGTGTAAAGTATATGTATACAGTCAAGTTATATATATATATAACTTGATAATGAAGATAACTTCATATTACACGCTTTTTAAATTATTAATATTTCTTATAAATAATAGTATTTAAATATATTTCATATTAAAATCAGATATATTAGAATGCAAACTAATGACGTTCAATAATATACTAACAATAAGTAGTTATCTATGATTTATATTAATATTTCACGTTTTATTTTAATCTTAATCATCCATTTTCCAAAAAAATTTTTTATGTATAGAGTCGAACATGTCGGCTGGGGCCAATGAAAAAAATACAAAACTTCAAGGAGCAACACCGCTAATATTAACTCCTGCCGATATTGATATAGAAGGTAAACTTAAAACTAGTTAAATTATTACAAATGCTTAGAAAAATCGGCATTAAGTTGGCTTTACAAAAACAAGTGCTACGCATTGTTGCTTACTATAATACGTAAATATTGTTATATTATTTTTGTAGATAATAAAATGATAAATAGAACTTTTGTGGGATTTGAATATCCAGTAAGCTTTTATGCTTTTAAATATTTATGTTATATAAACAACATTGGAAATAACACATTATAGCAGCGAGTATTTTGCACATATTATTAGAAATATATTAATAATTTATTATATATTTTAATCAACTTCAACAATGGAGGAAGTTATCAATTCGGTTTTATTTTTTATGTTTGTTATCTCAGAACTCCATCATTTCTAAATCCATTTGAATTTTTTTTTTATTTAAATGGATATGGTTTCACATTTGTCTTAAAAAAATTTCATTAAACTCGGTTCAGTGGTTTAGTTTTTTAATCAAAACAATTNATTTGTGATCTTTTGACATATTGTTCATCAAAATCGGTCAAGCGAGAGCTGAGATTGAGCGTTCACAGACACAAAAAAAAAAAATAGTAAAATTAATACCTTCTCAGCTTCGCATCGAAGCTAAAATGTACAAAAGAAAATCTATTCAAACAAATTTTTTATGAAAAAATGTACTATATATAAATCAGAGTAATATCAGAATAAAATCAATTTAGTCTTCTTATTATTATTTTTCCTCGTCTTAATCCCAACTACTTGGAGTCGGCAACTTTTATTCTAAACTTCCACTTGACACGATCACCCACATCATCTATGCTCACATCAGTCGTCCTCATATCGCATTCAATAGCATCCCTCCATCTCTTTTTTGGTCTTCCTCTACCTCTTTCTTCTTCAAAATTCATTTGCATTACTGTTCTCACTGCTTCCGATTCCTCTATCCTCTTAACATGACCAAACCATGTAAGTCTATTTTTTCTTATCTTATCCATGATTGACGCTACACCTAAACTCCCTCTTATATGTTCGTTCCTTATCCTATCTTCTCTAGTCACTCCACTCATCCATCTAAGCATTTTCATCACTGCTTCATTTTCATATCAACCGCCCTACACTCTGAGCATAGCTGGTCTCACTACAATATTATAAAATTTACCTTTCGCCTCATTGGAATTCTTTTATCGCATAACATACCAGGCGCTTCTCTCCACTTCAACCACCAGTATTAACCCTGTGTCTTACATTCTCGTCAATACCACCGCTCTTTTGCACAACTGATCCTAAATATTTAAAACTTTCCACCTTTCCTATCATGTCCTCACCTACTGTCACTGATCTCTGAATAAAATCAATTTAGTAAGATAATAATATATAATCATAGTTATTTTTAGAGTCTGTGCCAGCTACATTTAACAAACGTGTATCATCATGTTGATGTTGAACAGTACGCGGTTCAGAGTATACACTGTGATGGTTGGAGGGAAACATGCATAAATGAATAACCCGAACGAAGGTAGACATCGTTGACTTTCAATATCGTTTGGATACTCAAATTTTTGTATTTATTTATAAATAAATCATTGTGCCCGATACTGTTCAACACCGCGCGTCAATTGTCAATTGTAAAATTAAATAGATACCCACTCGTACTTAGCTACAGTTTTGTTAACCACGGACTACAATAAAATGGACTGGTCGCGATGCCATATCAGGTGATCCTGTTTTGTTATACATTTCCCGTAAAAACAAGAACTTTGAAGTAACAGTGCCATCATGCTATTTTATATGTATTTTCACCATTCCTCCAATCTGTTTTTTAAAATTTTTTATTTTGAAAACATGATTGTCGCTAGCGCGGAATTTCTATAGAAAAATTTGATCGCACTCGCCGTTGCCGACAATTCTGTCATATCCGGTTCATTTTATCTTAGTTTGTGGCTGGCGCCGACTCCAAAAATAACAATAATTGTATTTTATTATCTTAAGAAATTGATTTTATACCAATTCTAATCTGATTAATGTTTTTTTTTAGTGTATTTTCTCATAACAGATTTTTTTAGAGTAGGTTTTTTTTTAAATTTAAAACGTTCTTGTTAATGAGTAATGAATATGCAAAAGATTCGCTTCTCTTAAAATGTATACATACATTGTATTCGGTAATTTCCCTACCTACCACTATGAATAACCTTTTGCATCAAATTCTACTACTACCGAACCGTGGTAAAACAATTTATTACACGAACCATATTATGACTTGACTAGACCATACATCAAAAACAGACCAAAACACGCCCGAATATCCGAACCGAAAACGTATAGGGATAGTTGTACACTTTTAACGGGTACGAGTAGTAAACGATTACCGTATATATATATCATACGAAACCTAGTTATATACATTAATAGAACTCGTTTCCCGGACAAGAGTAACAGCGCTATAATATACAGCCGAGATAAAACCCTTTTTTGGTTATTACATTGAATATGGAAAAGTTACTTTTTTCATCTATTTCTGTATTTTAAATATTTGATTTTAATGTAAAACTGAATTATAGTTATTTCAAAAGTATACTCAGTTACCTGTCATCAATATTTAATTTATTAAATAATTTATAGCCCAGATATATTTCTTAGTCGTATAATTATTTTTTTTTGACATTTTACTGTGATATTATATTCGTTATAAATGTCAACGATGCTTTAAGAATTAAAAGTTAGAGTAATTTATAAATAACACGTGTATATTATTAGTTGAAGTATCAGACATCACAACAATTTGAAACTATCTGTCGTTTGGTGTTAAAACATTCTGCTTTTTGAAAAACACCAATATAATTATTCTTCAATAACAATTGTGTTAGATCAATCAGTTAGATTGTGTGGAAGTATGACACACCATCAAATTTCATTATTTTAACTATAGTAATTCAATCTCATTTTACATTGGTTGTAAGGTCATTAAAAACGCTTTGTGAACTTTAAAAATCATTACAAATTAATTAAGAAAATACTTTTTCTATGAAATCACTTGAGAATTTTAATAAATTTCATCAAAATTCATTACACCACTTTCTTGATATAATTTAACGATTTAGAAAAGGTAAGAAGTGGGGAGTGTTTATTCATTTTTACGTTCTATTTTAGCCATAACTCACAAATAAGAATTCTTCTTCGTTGCACACCCCTTTTGCTCTACATCTAAAATCTACCCCTAGAAATAATTTTATTAACCCAGATGACATTTAGATAACCATTTATAAAGTCATCTATCTAAGATAAAAGATAATACTATTTTTGTCTATATGTTACCAACACTGATATTTTACCTCATCAAAGAAATTATCACTGTTTTTACCCAACAATAAATTTTATATTATCTACATACACTAAAAAATAAAGATGTAACCTACTATTATTATAGTTTTATTTTTATCATGTAATTTTACTTAGAGTATTATATTCGAATAGGTCGATCAATAATCATCAGATGAACACAGGTGTATTTTGAACTCACAATACACAGTGTTTGTTTAGGGAATACTATTTGCATATTAAATAATATATCATTAGGAACTCGAACAAACAAAGCACTTTATTTTGCTATTAAGTTCTAACGGGGATAAAATAATAGTGATAAAACAGAATTTAAAAAGAGTTTCTTGGAGATCAAACAAAACTATAAATATAATTTTTTTAGGACTTTTTTAAATTACTATCATTTGATTTACAATTATTTGAATTTTGTTTTCTTAAATAGTTTTAAAATTTTAATATAAATAGTTAACTAAACATATCCCGTTTTTACTAAAACATTATAACCTAGTAAAATAATTTAAATCAAAAGCGAATAAGAATACAAAGCTTATAACTACTATGTTGTAACTTAAAAAGTATGAAATAATTATTAAAAGAACAAAAATAAAATACAGGGTGGCCCACCACTCACTGACAACTTAAATAACTTTTGATCCAGTTAATATTTTTAGCTGATTTTTTTTTTAAATATTAGTTAGACGTTAGGTCTATAGCTATATCTCAATAATTAATTTTTTTACATTTTATTAAAAATATTCATTATTTTTAAATTTTAAATAAAAAGTAAAAAAAAATCTAAGATAGCTATTTTGTAGAGTAGAATTTAAGAAAAATTTTAGTAAAAAAATATCTTATTAATATTCAGTAGTAAATATTCTGTAGCGTTTTGAAGTTTGTGAAAATTTGAATTTTCATGTACTATTTTACGGTATTAAACATTGAAATACGTATTGAGAAAAGGACAGAAGAAAACGCTATCTTTTCAATATACTTTTGAATGAGAGTGATAAGTAATAATTGCCTTATCTAATTTCTTATCATGGTATTTATGCCAAGTTTGTAATGTATACACACTATCATCATATGTATACACAGTAATCATGAAAAGATAGCGTTTTCTTCTGTCCTTTTCTCAATACGTATTTCAATGTTTAATACCGTAAAATAGTACATGAAAATTCAAATTTTCACAAACTTCAAAACGCTACAGAATATTTACTACTGAATATTAATAAGATATTTTTTTACTAAAATTTTTCTTAAATTCTACTCTACAAAATAGCTATCTTAGATTTTTTTTTTACATTTTATTTAAAATTTAAAAATAATTAATATTTTTAATAAAATGTAAAAAAATTAATTATTGAGATATAGCTATAGACCTAACGTATAACTATTATTTAAAAAAAAATTCAACTAAAAATATTAACTGGATCAAAAGTTATTTAAGTTGTCAGTGAGTGGTGGGCCACCCTGTATATGATATCTGTATAGATATAGATGTTTGAACAGATATTAAAATAATTGAGACTCTTATTATCTTAAGCCTAATTCCTTATTTTTTTGAGTTACTTTTTATATCGGGGTCAGTGTTCCGAAGGTTTCTTTACTGACATAATCACAAATAAAAGAAATATTACCACAAATATGTATATATATATATAAGTTTTAATTTACCAAGAATCCAGAGCAATCGCGAACCGTAAAATAACAGCTCAAACGAAATCTGCTCTATATAGATTCAATTTTACCAAAAGTACTTATTTTTACTTTATTCTTTATATTAAAATTTATATCCAACATTATTGCTTACCTTTGAATAAGTTTTCTTGAAATAAAAGGAGTCTTTTTTCTTTTAAAATGTATCTCTTCACACTGATAATGCTGATGAAGAAAGTGACTCTGAGAGATTCTATGCGCAAGTGTTTTTTAATACCACGTTAACCCGTATTTTTATACTTTTTTAAATTTAATTATGAGATCAACATCATTAATGTGTCCAGATATTTTATTGACATATTTTTGATTGCGACCAAAGTTTACAATATTTTTTTTTAATAAACAATAATATGAGTAATAAGATGATTACATAATTTTTGTCACGTTATACTACTATGACAACAACTATTAAATAAATTTGATTACATAGTATATTTCAAAAGATTAAAAATCTTTGAAATTTGTATTTGCTTATATAAATAAAAATTAAGCAGTACAAAAACAGTAGTACAGTATGGAAGTAGGATAGTTGGAACAAGTATATATAATAGTGATTAAAATCACTATCATAAAAAACGCTTCGATGCAAATCTGTAAATAGTGTTTAGTTATAAGAAATTAGTGCATAATTATAATTTAAGCTAGTTAAAAAACTCAAAATCATTTTTCTTAACTTAGAGCAAAATATTAAAGATAAGTTTAAAATTATATTCAATGGAAGTTCAATTCATGTAACTTTTATAAAAATCGTTGGCCTCATTACTATGGCAAATCCTTTTTTTTTTAATAAACAAAAAAATATAGTTTGAACACAAAAATACTATGTTTTTGAACTATGGCGATCATTTGCACATAAAAGATAGGTCGTCAAGACATTTTTTTTTTTAACTTTAAGTACGTAACATATATTTAATAGACGCAGTATTTCTGGATCATATTAAAAAGTTAAATTATTGTACTAAAGTTGCTTTTTTAAATGCTCTCTGTGGGCAAGTAAAGGATAAGATTTTGAAAAAATTTATATGAAACAAAATAAAATACCTAAGGTATAGAAAAAAAAAGTATTGAGATCCATTCATTTTTTAAAAAAAATTAAAAAACTACGTAATATACAGATTTTAAAAATCATAATTTTGATTGAAAAATGCACAATAAGATATTTTTTAGTTTAATCTATAAACTTATTGAAATTAGTCACTACATAATAAAATAGAATATGTCACGCTTTTCTACTTTTAATTAAAAATTTAACATACGCATTGTTGATGTACTGAAATGAAAAAGGTACCAAAAAAAATAATTTGTTAACGCTTTCATTCTGATTCTGTCAACCAGCATAATTTAAACTAAATAAACAACGCTTTTAGTTCTCAATTCCACACTTGATTAGGTATGTTCGGTGTGTGGTTTTTAAAAAGGGAAAGAGAACTAAGCGAATAATTTATTGTATTTTATCTTATAAAATTTCCCACAATAACTCTTAAAACTAAATATCATTTAAACAGGAAAAAAAATAAATGGAATTTAATTAATATCCGGTTCAATAAAATCCTAATTGTACACATAAATAAATGTAACAATTTTTAAATAATATAATAATAATTGATTACTTAGATATTTATATCACTACTTTAATTAAATTATTTAATGTATGTTATATTTCACACTTATATGTTATATAAGTGTGCCAAAAAACCTAAATAAATTACATTTTTTATTAATTAAAATGAAATTAATTTTGTAATTGAAAGTTAGACATTATTTTTAAATTAAATTTAAATATTTTAACTCCTTGGAAAAACGATTTACTCGTAAAATATTTTTTGACTAAACAAAAAAAATTAGTCTTACTGTTTCATAACTCTTACATTAGTTTTTCGTTTACTTATCGTTCAGTTATTCAAACGTATTCAACTTTAACCAAAATTCATCATTATTTAAAACTTATATTCATATCGTTCAATTAGTTTACAGTTTAATTTTCTGTTTCATTTTTAGAATTCAATTTTAGGTCGTATGCTTCTAAGTTTTCGAGTTAGAAATACCAGAAAAATATGTATTAAACGGTTATATCTTTTTTTTTTTTTTTCCACCGCCGGCATAGTGTGGACCGCCCTGGAACTACCACGAGGTATTGCTTCAGGGTGGCCCAAAACGGTTATATCTGATTTACCGAAAACCAATTTTAGTACCTGTTGTTTTTTTTTTTTTACAACGAACTATTTAAATATTAAAAAACCCAGCACAATGGGGTCATGTTATAGTTGGGACACGTACAGATAATATATAACAGTGATTAATATTACTGTTAGATATCATAAAAAACGCTTCGATGCAAATCTGTAATGTTTAATTTTTAGAAGGAATTATTCCAAAGGTAACATGTACTCTAATTTCCTTATTTATACCCTGACTATTAGTTTTATATGATTTATAAGTATGATACATAGATAAACACTTATTATAGTAATTACATTTAGTATGAAATTGATATTTAATAATCTAGTATTGTAATTTATATGGAGAAATTATAAAAAGTTATTGTATAAAGAGTGATTTTTTTCTTGATTTCTTTTAAAATAATAATTATATTAAGGAAATTTTTTATGGTATTTTTAAATTTTATATACAAGGTGGCCCACCACTCACTGACAACTTAAATAACTTTTGATCCAGTTAATATTTTTAGCTGATTTTTTTTTTAAATATTAGTTATACGTTAGGTCTATAGCTATATCTCAATAATTAATTTTTTTACATTTTATTAAAAATATTAATTATTTTAAAATTTTAAATAAAATGTAAAAAAAAAATCTAAGATAGCTATTTTGTAGAGTAGAATTTAAGAAAAATTTTAGTAAAAAAATATCTTATTAATATTCAGTAGTAAATATTCTGTAGCGTTTTGAAGTTTGTGAAAATTTGAATTTTCATGTATTATTTTACGGTATTAAACATTGAAATACGTATTGAGAAAAGGACAGAAGAAAACGCTATCTTTTCAATATACTTTTGAATGAGAGTGATAAGTAATAATTGCCTTATCTAATTTCTTATCATGGTATTAATGCCAAGTTTGTAATGTATACACATTATCATCATATGTATACACAGTAATCATGAATAGATATTATTAGATATATATTATTTAATATACTTGAGTATATTAAAACTTAAATGCCTTTTGTTATCTCCTAAAAGATAATAAATGTTAAGTAATATTTGTACTTTTTATTATGTCATTACTATCACATAAACATAATTTGGTGGCTGTTCCAGTCACCTACAATGTTTTTTTTTGTTTGGAAGTAATATTAACTGAAATCGCAGCCGCTGATTAATTTTGACTAGTTAAATTAACTGTCAGATGAAGAATAACGACCACTAAAAAAATTAATTAATCGAATAAACAAGAGAAAGTTATTACCAAATCATTTCTATATTAATAAATCCCGTTCACTGTGAACCTTAATGGAAAAAACACTTTATTATTTATTATATTTATTTGTTAATAATATAAAGATTAAATTTTTATCAATTTGAATTTACAATTTCGTCAAATGTTATAAATATTTAAAATATAACAATGATATTTTTAAAAATTCTGTACTCCAAAGTTAAATTGACATAAGTTTTATTTAAAAACAAAATCTTCTAATAAATTACCTCAAACATACGGATTTATCCCGTATAATTACAATGCCTTATTTTCTGTCATTTAAAGTAATTTAGAGGCACTTAAAATCATTTTATATTTTTTGAATATTTCATGAGTTACTGAAGTTCAACTTCTTGAGTCTACCTAATTGAATTTTTATAAAAATCACAAGGGCAGAAAATATAAATCGAGTTGCGGCTATGTTTGAAAGATTCATCCTTGGTTATTTTATTGATATAGACGATAATGCTTTTGGATAGAAATCAATTTATTTACTGAATATGTCATATTATAGTTCTTGATTGTTTTATTTTACTTTTTAATTACATTAAGTGACCAGTTAGTAAATGACGTGCTCTTTTCATTTAATAGTACTAGCAGTATTGTAAAATAATAGTGGCTGCCTCAAATTCTATTTGTCCAATCGTGACATCAGGTCGATTATTGGTAGGGTGGGCGATAATGAATCAATACATGGCAGCGACCCTAATCACACTACCAAGGCTTGACCTATTACTATGACAGAGATAGAAGAAGAATAGAGGTGCGGTTTAGATAATGAAAGGGATACAGAAAGTGAAAAGAAAAAAACAATGACGTGTGCGTACATTTGATGCCACCAAGTTACTATTCCTTTCTGATAATTTAGTGTTTAGTATTCTAAACATACGTATAAGAAACAAAATCTGGCTAACAAAAATTTTTCTTTTAAACTAAAAAATAAATCCAGTGTAAGCGCTACTTTACAATCATTATTTGACTCTAGTTTGAAAACTGTGTATAGTATTAAGTTGAAATGTTAAAAATAAATAAATAATATTCGAATTTCAACATGAATAAATTCCTCCTTAGATATTTATAAATATATAAAATATAAGTCATATCTAATTTCAAATATCATATTGAGTTGTGTAAGACATATATTACTTTGTTCTTACCACTTATAATATACACGTTTTTTTTTTCATTTACTTATATTTTAATATATGTTAATTAGAATAGAGGGAGATGCTGATGTGACAGTTCTTCTTGCCTATAGCCCGGAGCTACTAACGTCGAACTAACAATTGACATCAACAAAATCAGTTGTGTTTGAGCGGCCGTTATAGATATAGTTTTCGATATCATCACTTTTACCTTATTCGTTATGTCAATAACTTAACTTATCTTATTCAACGACTCGTCGATCGCCAATTGTCATTATAATCAGCCAACTCCGTCTCACTTACCTATTTACCTACTTACCAGCTGTACTAGGATTCAGGTCAGACCTATTATATATTACATATAACTTGTATCTACTGAATATTTAAAATATAACTTTAGTTTGTCGTTGACATAAAACAAAAGTTTCACTTTATTATACAACTTCTTACTAATAACTAAGGTACAAGATTGCTTGTGTCTCCTTTAGGGGTAATTCAAACTCATTTAAAGAAATAGAGAAAATATTTGGTCTTACATTGGGTAGCCTCCATTTCTTACTTTGACCAAGATCCCTAAGTATTAAACGGATCATTAACAGTTTTATTGTAAATTTTATGACACTAACAATTTATAAAAAAAAGTTTGATAATTAATAAGCCAGCAATTTTTTTCCTTCAAACTCTCCTGGAAACTATCAATGAGACAGGCTTGAAAATTTCCAAGCTTGCCATAAAAATACGTTAACTATTGCAT